TGGGTAAGTCAATGTTAAGAACAAGAGAACTTTTAAATCAAATTAACTTTTTAATTAAAAGTTATAAAGGAGATAAGATGTTGCCATACACTTTTACGTGTACTGTATTGGTAAATATTTAATTTACCGGAAAAAAATTACATCATGACAAGAAATAATAAATACTGTAGATTGGCAAATTACCGGGTATCATGATGGTTTTAATTTCACTATGTTCGCGATTCGTCATTTTTCCGCGAAATTAAACCCATCGTAAACGCTGTTCTTGGTTTAAAAAATGTTATAGGAGTTATGTCCAAGACACGATGTAGAATCGATATCGACAGAAATTTGTCATAATGTAAGACTTGGCTTACCTACAGTACCGACCGGACACAACCTAACAGCAGAGCGAACCCGGAGCGGACCCCGGGTTCGCTCGGGGTCCGCTTCGGGTTCGCTTTCAGAAATTTTGGGACCGCTCGGGGTCCGCTTCGGGTTCGCTCCGTGTCCGCTGCGGGTTCGCTCGGGGTCCGCTATAGCGAACCCGGCGTTCGCTTTCTGGGATCGCTTTACGCACTCATGCGTCACGCGGATCCCACTTTAATTTCGCCGTCAGTAAGCCCCGCCCCTTGTATATTCCAATACAGTAGCGAAATCGATCATTGTTGTTTTTGCGGTGATCGATACGTTTGTTGTTGAATCTGCAATTAATCTACAAATGTTGCGTACATGTAATCCCTACGTAATGTAATATGCTGGAAATGTGCAAACCTGTGGCCGTGATAAAAGATTCTCAGGATTTGTGAAATATCAATGATTTCTAGAAAAATAATTGACAAAACAGACTTAAAATATCAAGATACTCATGCAACATACATTAATGTCACGTTCAATTATCCATGTTATCATACATGTACGTGAAATTTAATATCCGAGATGATCAAAAGAGATCGATCTGTAAAAACATGTAATATTTTATATGTGAAGAACTTTAACAAAAAAAAATAATATCAGTTATGAGAACAAATAAGTTATTCTGGGTAAGGTCAGGGTGAATTTTATGTGTGTGGGTTTTTTATTTATTTATTTTTTGCATGAGTTTAGCCGCGTCGGAAAATTGGGGGGGGGGTGGTTTGTAACATATTTATTTATACATTTTTTATTAATTTATAATATATATGAGGCACAGTATTGTTTTTAAAACCCTTTGATCAGTGTTTCGCGATCGTTCAGATATATTTGAGCCTTGATTGTAAAGTAAATATAAACTATGAAGAACTTTATACACATGGGAACTGCAAAAAAGAAGTAAACCCTATCTAGGTCAAGGTCACTGTGAGAAGAGGTCAATTTTGTGATCAAATGAATCTAATGTGAATTGAGTTGTGTATGACAATCATCTATTGTTTATATATGCTCAAACTCATTAGTTCATTCATTACAACCTACCCTATACCATGAAAAAAAAAAATTATGCCTTACATTTTCAGGGGGTACATTACTCTGATGTAGAATAAAAAAAATATTGTGGATAGAATACTTCTTTTTTGTGGTTATATTATCACAAATACATATCACACAAAATTTTACAATGTTTTCTTATTGATCATCCCTACCATATTTTTCTTTGGCAGAATATTATAAACATCTTTATAACAGTAATTGCTAAAATTGTCACTGAAAGTAGACAAGTTCTGTCGATAACAAGTATTCATATTTCATATCTGATGAATTTGAACTATATAAAATTAAATGTCTAAAATCCTAGGGCTTATTGTTACAATTGAAGACTTGAAACATTAAACTGTTCTCTGGCTAACTAGAAAAATTACATCTCTACCCTTTGTCCATTATGGGTGCCCCACTGGCGAGAGGGTACAGTTACATAAATGAGCGCATAAGAAATATGTATGAACAGAATTGCATGAAACTAAGGGAAATATTGCCGAAAGTGTTGTTCATAATAACTATGCTTAATTTAGTCAAATGCAAGGTCATGGTATTACACCCTTAATACCTTAAGTCTAAAATCAAAATATATTTGTGATATACATATATTGACATATCTGTGTAAAATTGCAGGGTTTTACGGAAGTTGTGGTGAACATTACTGATGTAAATGATAATTCTCCTGTGTTTAAGATGACAATTTACACTCGCCTAATGGAAGCAGTGTCTTGTTTGTAAGTGCTTGTTTAGAATGTCAATTATTTCTCTGTTGAGATGAAAAATATTCCCAGCTTATAATGGAATTAAATTTTATACACAAAGTGCAGAAAAATAATGGTGCAGAGAAAATTGTTTGCTTTTATTAGTTGGCATATGAAGATTTAAAATGAAATCAAAATGATCAAAAAACTGTTATTAGAAGAATTTATGATTTGAATATAATTTCAGTTGAATTGTATACAAATAATATTGTCTTTTAAATTGAAAAAAGATTTGAAATTTAAAAATAAAGAAAAAGATGATGGGGAAGTAAAGTTAAGCATACATACTTGTTTACTATTAACTAATAACATATACCAGCTTTCAATTATGTATGAAAATGAATGTTGCAGAATTCACCTATTTATGCTGAGGATCATGATGAGTCAATAAATGGGACTGCTGGAATTCGCTTCTTCATCACAAGTTCTGATGCTGCTGAGTTACCATTTACCATTGAAGATACAACAGGAAGAATTCTGGTGAATAACTCGGGAATACTTGACAGGGAAACAAAATCTAACTACACAATCAAGGTGAGTTAATCTCCAATCAAAACATTTGGCAACATTCTTAACTTGTGGGTTTGGATTTTGAGGATTAAGTTTTCTGACTTACTAACCAGCCATTTTTAGCAGAGACCAGAAGAGCTTATGCGACAGTAATGAGTCCGTCGTCCGTCCGTCTGTCTGTCTGTCTGTAAACAATTTTTCAAAATGCTACTTCTCCTACAGTTTTGGTCCATTTTCAATATAATTTGGCACACAAGTAGACTACTTTAAGGTACATAATTCTGTGCATCTGTTTTAGATTTCGATGAACGGTTTTGCCTTGTTACTAAAAATAGAAGTTTCTATGAAATTCTTTCAAAATACTACTCCTCCTACAAGTTTGGTCCGATTTAAATATAACTTGGCACATAAGTAGACTACACTAAGATACATAATTCTATGCATCGGTTTTGATTTCGATGAATGGTGTTGCCATGGTTACTAAAAATAGAAATTTCTGTGAAATTCTTTCAAAATGCTACTCCTCCTACAGTTTTGGTCGATTTCAGTATAACTTTGCACACAAGTAGACTTCACAAAGATACATAATTCTGTGCATCAGTTTTTGAATTCGATGAATGGTGTTGCCATGGTTACTAAAAATAGAAATTTCTCAATTTCAATATAACTTGGCACACAAGTAGACTACACTAAGATACATAATTCTGTGCATCAGTTTTTGATTTGAATGAATGGTGTTGCCATGGTTACTAAATATAGAAATTTCTGTGAAGTTCTTTCAAAATGCTACTCCTCCTACAGTTTTGGTCCAATTTCAGTACATGTATAACTTGGCATACAAGTAGACTATACTAAGATACATAATTCTCTGCATCAGTTTTTATTTTGACGAGCGGCAAGGATCATTTTTCTATTTATTGCTATTTAAAGTTCCAAGTCCCAATTGCTACTTATTTCTTCCTTTGTTTTAAGTATAAACCAGTAGAGCTACAGTCTCGACAGAGACTTCTGGTTACGAATTAATCTAGCCTGCTGCAGCCATATTTTTTTCTCTGCAAATAGATTTTTTACTTACAAGAACACATTTTGTAACAATTAAAGGCCTATTTCATATGAATTAACCGTGTTTCCAGATTTTTTTATTTGTAAAATAAATGATTCACTGTATGTATAGTATTAAAACTTTTAATGGAATTCTAAATGAATAATTCAATCTGATTTGAACATATTTTATTGCACAAAATAAATACAATGGGATTGGGCACACGTTCTAAAAACTTAAATCGCCCTCTCCCTAATTTAATCTCATGTGCTCATGTAACAAAGAAAGACTAATTAAAATAGAATCAATCTGAATTCGTGTTACATATCATATTTAACACGAATTCAGATCGATGCTATGTCGTATAAAGTCTGAGCTGCATTTAATCAAAGTTACTTCTCCTACAGTTTTGGTTCGATTTCAATATAATATGTAATTTTGTAATAATATTGTTTCAAAATGCTACTCCTCCTACAATTTTGGTCCGATCTCAATATAACTTGGCACACAAGTAGACCACACTAAGATACATAATTCAGTGCATCAGTTTTTGATTTCGATGAATGGTGTTGCCATGGTTACTAAGATTTCTGTGAAATTGTTTCAAAATGCTACTCCTCGTACGGTTTTAGTCCGATTTCAATATAACTTGGCACACAAGTAGACTACACTAAGATACATAATTCTGTGCATCAGTTTTTTATTTCAATAAATGGTGTTGCTGTGGTTACTATCACTATTGCAGAACAAGTACTTACAGAACTGAGTAGTACTGCCGAGCAATCTGATGAAGGACCCGGTCAGCCCGGGGGGATAGCCATATCGGTAGAAGCTACTCAGAAATCAATTTTACGACAAGTTGCCTCGCAGTGCAGCATTACTGAGCAATCTGGTGAAGGACCCGGTCAGCCCAGGGGGATAGCCAGATCGGTAAATTCTGCACTTAATGCACAGTCTGCATTAGGAGGCAAAGGCGTAAAAAGAAAACTCAACATGAAAAGCATTGACACAAAGTATGAAGCAGTTCTGGCGGTCGAGAGGGGGGAGAAATCAAATCTCAGATAGCCAAAGATTTCGGCGTACCGCCCAATACACTTTCAACATGGTTGAAAAACAAAGAAAAAATTCTAAATGCCTACCAGGAGTTCAATGCCAAAAGAAAGAACACAAGAACGGGTACATTTAATGACGTTGAATCTGCCACTTTGAAATGGTTCAAAGTTGCCAGAGACCAGAACATTCCCATATCCGGCCCTATGCTAGTTACAAAAGCAGAAGAGTTCGCCAAGAAACTCGATGTAGCAGACTTTAAGGCCTCTAACGGCTGGCTAGAAAATTTCAAATCCCGGCAAGGGATTACGTTCAAAAGAGTCTGTGGAGAAGAAAAGTCAGTTGACACGCAGTCTGATGATATGTCAGTCTGGCAAGAAAAACTGAAACTTCTTCTTACACGCTACCCCCCTCAAGACATTTATAATGCTGATGAAACCGGCATATTTTTCCGCCTGCTGCCTGACAAAACCCTTGAATTCAAGGATGTAGACTGTCATGGCGGCAAGAAAAATAAGGAAAGATTAACCGCTATGGTGTGTGCTAACATGGACGGCACAGACAAACTGCCGTTCCTTGTGATCGGAAAGTCTGCCAATCCTCGCTGCTTCAAGAACGTCCAGTCCCTTCCCGTGAAGTACAACGCCAACAAGAAAGCCTGGATGACCGGAGATATTTTCACTACTTGGGTCAAACAGCTCGACAAGAAGATGAAGAAAAAGAAACGAAAGATTGCCCTTGTCATCGACAACTGCCCGGCCCACCCAAAGATCCCCGCGCTGCAGTCCATAGAGCTGATATTCCTGCCACCCAATACAACCTCCAAGACCCAGCCAATGGACCAGGGAATAATCCAGAATCTGAAGGTCCACTACAGAAAGAGAGTTCTCCTACGCTACATCGCCGCCATCGATAAAAAAGAGACTCCACACATCTCCATCCTTGATGCACTTCATATGCTGAGCCAAGCTTGGGCATGTGTCACTGTAAAGACCATCTCCAACTGCTTCAAGCATGCTGGATTCGCCAACAGTACTACAGCAGTCGCCTAGGAAGAAGATGACGACTTTGACATTGACGAAAACATCCCCTTGTCCAGATTAAGAGACCATGGCCTGACCCCCGATGTCCTGCAGCAGTTTACCAACGTCGACAACGCATTGCAGACATGTGCCGACTTAACAGAAGATGACATCTTAGAAGAAGTGAAAATGAATCGGGATCAGAAGCAGCCCAATCTGTAGACGATAACGACCCCGACGACCGCCCTGCCCCCGTTCATAGCCTTGAAACTGTATCTAGTGCATGTGACATTGTGCTTTCCTACCTTCAAAGCCATGCCGATAGTAGTGACAATTTGATTAACATTAACATTATTTGTGATCTTGTGAACAGTGACATTTTCAAGAAGAAAACTGCCCACCAATCGCACATTACGAACTTTTTCAAGTGATCATGTGTTAGCGTAGTGACTATGCCAGTGCTGACTGTATTCATACTCGTGAAACAAACTAAAATGACTGTGCTTTTTTGTGTGATTAAATATTAATGCTTGAATTGACACTTCATTTGAAATATTTATTAAAAACAACTGTGTGCTTAAACGCTCAAATTATCTGCATGAAAATGTGATTTTTATAACATCGTTCGTTCATATACAATAAATGCATTTTATATCTGATGTTCCTTTTACGTAGAATAAATAAATTTTATGACAAAATATATATTCTCTTTTATTGACAATAAAAAACGTCCAGATCTGTATATTCACCTGAAAAATATCAAGGAGTATCGTTGTTAAAGCATGTGTGTACGATTATCTCTGGAATGAGAGATGAATCATAACTTCCGGTTCGACTAATTTAAAAACCTGTCTGTCAACCCGGAAAATTCCGGACTCTTGAAAACTCGAACTCTTGAACTCTCGAAGTTTTTCCTCGGTCCGGTGGACTTCGAGGTATTGAGAGTTACCTGTACATAATTCTGTGCATGGTTTTTTTTTTGGATGATCGGCAAGGATCATTTTTCTATTTATTGCTGATTTAAAGTCTCGAGTCCCAACTGCTACTTTTCTCTTCCTTTGTTTTAAGTTTAAACCAGTAGAGTTACAGTCTCGACAGAGACTTCTGGTTTTGATTTGAGATTCTGCTTGGTCTTATTTCCGAGCCTGTTTGTACCTTATTTCAACACCTCTTGTCAATTGTAATGAAAACACCAGTTTCAATAAACAACAAAATTTATTTAACCTTTGTATAGACAAACAAAAAAAAAAATGGTATAAAAAAAAAACCAACTGTAAATTTCTGCCTTTTAAAAAAAATAATCCCAATTTTGAAAACCCAGCAAAAATCACTCCCAACCTAGCGTACGGAAACGCTAGCCCAACCTAGCCGGGGGAAAAGGCCTAGGGAAATTAAAACCCTTAATTTACATTTATTTATTGAAAACCTCTGTTGAAAAACTCCTAACTTTTAGTTTTATGGCCTAATAAATTTAACAGGAGCTATAGACGACGACAATTTTGTACAAATACCTAATAATAACTGAACATAATTTCTAAGGGTGCAACCTGTTAAATACCTAATAAACCTCTATAAAAGTGAGAGAACTTGCAGCAAATCAATCCTTTTCAAGATT